TGGGGATTCGAACCGCCGACCTTTCGATGGGCAAGCCCTAGGCACTGAGGCTTTTACCCACAGCGCCACCCGCGTCCCTACTGCAACATAGCGGGAGTGCAAAAAAACCCCACAGAATGTGGCACTGAGTGGAGAAGTCCACTTCCTTAGAACCTAAGTTTCCATTTAAGGAGGAAAAATATGTTTCCAGTCTTTAGGTTTGCAAGGATTAAAGGGGTCTGAACAAGATCACAGAGAGGGGCTTTGGTACCCAAATTTAAACAAACTTGCTTCATTTGTGTAATTTATATGGATTTGTTTTCTTGGCACAAAGTTTTAATGCAGAATCTGTGTTTGCACACAATCCTAAGCTATGGCTTGTTCTAACCATGGTTTGTTCAATCGTAAGTTGTGTCACAGACAAGGAAAACAAACCATGGCTTGTTTCTCCCAAATTTGGTTTGTTTTCCAGCTGCTTCTGCCTCATGATTCTGCATCTTGCTGAGCATTTGGTGTGTGGGCAAACAAACTATGGTTAAGCAGGGCTGTTGGATTCGGACAACTCACAGCCCACTGGAACGGGTCCAGACAGACATGCAGACCAACCATGGCTTAGTGTTTGTTGCAACCAGAGCTCTGGGTGACAATATCTCAAAAAGGATATTGCAGAGTTGGACAATGTTCAGAAGAACCAAAATATTCTAGGGGGGTGGAGCAGCTCTCCCATGAGGAAAAGTTGCAGAATTTGGGACTATTTAGTTCAGAGAAAAGGTGAGTAAGAGGCAACATGATAGAAGTTTATAAAATTATGCATGGCATGGAGAAAGTGGATCGAGGAACGTTTTTCTCATAACACTAGAATTCATGGACATCTAAAGAACCTGAATGTTGGAAGATTCAGGACATACAAGAGACAGGACTTCTTCACACAGCAGGCAAATTATGGAATTTGCTCCCACAGGAGGCAGTGATGGCCACCAACTTGGGTGGCTGTAAAGGAGGGTTAGACAAATTCATGGAGGAGGAGAGGGTTAATGCTGGCTATGAGCCACAATGGCTATGGTCTGCCTCCATGGTTTCTGAACACCAGTTGCTGGAAGCCACCAGAGAGGAGAGAGGGTTCTTGGGCTCAGATCCTTCTTCTGGGCTTCCCAGAAGAGGCATCTGGTTGGCCACTGTGAGAACAGGATGCTTGGCTGGATGGGCCATTGGCCTGATCCTGCAAGCTCCTCTTATGTTCTTAGCTTTGGCCCAATTATACTGCATTACTGACTCCAATGTATTTTTATTTTGCCAGCGCCCAGGAGAGGTTTGAGGAGCCGTCTAGCCTACCGTGGCAAACTTCCCTCTCCAGCAGCATCACTTCAAAGACCCCAGGATTGCCTCCCCCTAAAGGCTGCCGGTTGTGGTTTCAAGGGAGCAAGAAACCCATGTGCGGGATTCCCATACGTCTCAGGCTTGTCTGCACGGAAGGGAAGAAGGGAGGAAGGAAGGAAAGAGCCTTTGGCTCCAAAATGCATAAAGTGTGAAGCAGCCACATATGACACACCACACGGTGCTGGAAGCCCCTACAGCCAGGACAGCAACGAGGAGACTTCCTCGTAAAGCACTGAAGTTATTATCACGCCAAACTCCTCTCTTTGCCTCCACAGCTGTGGAACATCCTCCTCTTCTCCCACAACTGCAAAGCATCATTAGGGAAGGCTGCCGCCTGATTAGTAACAGACAGAAGCATTTCAGCAGAGATCCTGCCTCCTGTAAAGCTAAGCTGCCCTTTGATCTCAGGACCCGCTCACGCTTTGCATATCCCTTCATGGAAGCCACCCTAACAGCCCAGAGCCAATTTAATTCGCTCCAGGAAGCATCTCATTGGAACAAGGCTGGCCATGTACACAGGTTTAATCTATATAGGAAGGGCGATTTCTGTACATCACAAAAGCTCGGGGTTAATAGCCCAGTGGATTAGAGGATTGCAGAAGCAGATCCCACTCTTAACCCCAGGGCACTGCAAGTTAAAAGGGAATCAGGCCAAGGGCTGGGGCTCCAGAGACAGAATAGCTGGTTCTGCGTCCAGCCTACAGCTGCTTAATGCTCTCTGTACCACAGCACTGAGCAGCTTTCTCCAACCCGGTGCCCTCCAGAGGATATGGGCTTCCACTCTCAACAGCTCTAGCATCATACAGCTGTGCTGGCTGAGGCAGATGGACGCGTTAGTCCAACTAGAGGGCACCAGGTTGGGGAAAGGCTGACGCCGAGGCCTTCCTTTGCAAAATGTCTAGGAAGTTTTAAAAACCTACAGACAGAAACACCCCAAACCTACACCCAAGAAATGAAAATGCAACTGCTTGAATAAAGGCTAACAGAGAAAATACATATCTAGGCAGAAGAGCAAAAGGAAGGCAATTTTCCAAAGACAGTTTTGACAACAGCACATTTGGCAAAACTGGGGAGCAGGAAGAAGGGTCTGACCACCCCCAAAAGACCCCCAACTGCTTCCTCCTTTCCATTCTCAATCAGCCATACTTTAAAAAAACAAAAAACTATTGGATAAAATATTTGGGAAATCCATCACCGCCATGGTCCTCAGAGGTATGCAGCTGGACCCATTTTGGGTTGATGCAGCAAGGAAATTACTAAGTTCTTCATATTCTAAACTGGGGAAAGACCAGAGAGCTCAATCTATCTACTGGAGAGCAGTGGCGTAGCGTGGGGGGTGCAGGGGGGGCCGGCTGCACCGGGCGCAACATCTGGGGGGGTGCGCTCGCCGCCTCCGGAGTCGCCGAAGAGCCTCGGGCGCAGGCTGTAGCAGAGCCCCAAGTCTCGCGGAACCGACGAGCTGGCAGTGGCTCTCAGCGCTCGCCGCGGTCCCCGCGCATCAGGGCCGCGGAGGGCGCGCCAGGCAGCCCCTCCTCACAGCCCCGCCGCCGCTGCTGCTGCTGCAGCTGCTGGGCCATGTTGCATTTTCCTCGCCTCTCTGCCCTCCTCCGGGCAAGTGGCGTCGTTTGGGCAGCAGCGCCAGCGGCAACTCGCCTCAGATCACCTGACACGGACCCGCCGCCGTGGCTACCTTACCGTAAATACCCCAGCCCAGGCAGCAGCAAGAAGAAGCTGGCAGCGGCGGCAGGTTAGGGGTTAGGGGGCGCAAATTACTTGCCTTGCCCCGGGTTAGGGGGCGCAAATTACTTGCCTTGCCCCGGGGTTAGGGGACGCAAATTACTTGCCTTGCCCCGGGTGCTGACAACCCACGCTACGCCGCTGCTGGAGAGAGATTGATGGGAGTCAGGTGGGAGTGGGCAGGGCGGGGGAGAACAAAATTACATTCCCTTGGCACCCCCCTTCTCCCTCTCCTTTTCCTGCTGAAAATGAGGAGGGAGGTCCCATCCCTTTTGACCCAGTATTACGATCCCTGCTGCAAGAGGAACAAAATGTTGCAAGGCTGCACCAGCTCTGCGTCATTACCTGTCCTCGAGACCAGAAAAACGAAGCTAAAACAGAAGAGTATAATTTTATAACTAGGCAGCTGTGCAGTCCATTCTTATCAAGCCCTGCTGGAATGAGGAAAGGTTTTTGTTTTTTAACTGAGCTGCCACCAGATACCACCTCCTTCCATTTTTGCCAGCAGAAAACCAGGTTAACAATGCTGGAGATAAGAGAATCTCTCTCCTTGGTTACATCAGCTGAAAATGGGAGCACCTAAAAGTGGTTTAAATGAGAAACCCCAGCCACAGAGATCCTGGCAGCCACACCTCCTGCAGTCTTAAAAGAAAGTTCCAATGTTAACTGCTGGGGAGAGGGAGACCTCCACATGGCAGTATTCGTATTTATTTGTTTGCAAGGATTAGGGGAATTAAGAGTGAGCCTGAGGCACGCTGAAGGAATCTGTGCCAGCAGGCAGTCACCACAGGGCAGAGGCAATGCGTTGCAGTGGTTAGAGTGTTGAGCTGGGAGAGGGGCTGTCACTTAAATAGTTACCCTGCAGGAGTGAGGTAAAGGTAAAGGTACCCCTGCCCGTACGGGCCAGTCTTGACAGACTCTAGAGTTGTGCGCCCATCTCACTCTAGAGGCCAGGGGCCAGCGCCGACCGGAGACTCTTCCAGGTCACGTGGCCAGCGTGACATCGCTGCTCTGGCGAGCCAGCGCAGCTCGCGGAAACGCTGTTTACCTTCCCGCTAGTAAGCGGTCCCTATTTATCTACTTGCACCCGGGAGTGCTTTCGAACTGCTAGGTTGGCAGGCGCTGGGACCGAACAATGGGAGTGCACCCCGCCGCGGGGATTCGAACCGCCGACCTTTCGATCGGCAAGCCCTAGGCGCTGAGGCTTTTACCCACAGCGCCACCCGCGTCCCTGCGTTGCAGTGGTTAGAGTGTTGAGCTGGGAGAGGGGCTGTCACTTAAATAGTTACCCTGCAGGAGTGAACAGCAGTCCAAATCCAAGCTTTCACACACAAGGCAGATTGCAGCCTTGGACCAAGAGGAACTCGTAAAGGTAAAGGGACCCCTGACCGTTAGGTCCAGTCGCGGACGACTCTGGGGTTGCGGCGCTCATCTCGCTTTATTGGCCAAGGGAGCCGGCGTACAGCTTCCGGGTCATGTGGCCAGCATGACTAAGCCGCTTCTGGAGAAACCAGAGCAGCGCATGGAAACGCCGTTCACCTTCCCGCCAGAGCAGTACCTATTTATCTACTTGCACTTGAATGTGCTTTCGAACTGCTAGGTTGGCAGGAGCAGGGACCGAACAATGGGAGCTCACCCCATCACGGGGATTTGAACCGCCGGCCTTCTGATCGGCAAGCCCTAGGCTCAGTGGTTTAGACCACAGTGCCAACTGCTTCCCATAGAGGAACTCTTACTGGTTTGTTATTTGTTGCATTTATAGCCCAAGAGGAGCTCAAGAGACCAAAGAGCCAAGACCACAGAGAAGCGTTTGACACGTGCTTTTTGACTGACACCCAGCCACACAGGAAGGCAAACAGTGGCAGGTGGCATCAAGCATATTTCATTTTACAACTTAATGAACTCACCACTCAAGGCGGACGTTGTGTTCTCCACGGCCTGGCACACAGCTAATACAATACCTAGAGAAGGAAAAATAGCCAGGTTTAAAAACAGGGATCATTTGAGAACGTCAAGAGTTTACTTTAAAAGCTCAGGCTACTGAAAATCCCACCATAACAAGCATTTTCATACTGTGTCACGCCCCCCCCCTTATTATTCAGCTATATCTGCAACCCAAAGTCAACACCCAAAACACCCTGATGCAACCCAGCAAGGGTGAAAATTTAGGGTTGTGATTCAAGGTCTGCATGCCATGCTGACTTCCAATACAGTATATTTACTTCCAAGTAAACGTACAGAAGACTGGGCTGCATGGCTCAAACTATGTTCCCCCTTCTGCACATGACCAAAGGCCAAAGAGTGGATCTTGCAATCAGCTACTTCGTAATCAAATTAACAAAAATGAATGGATTTCTTGGCAAGAGCACATGGGGGGGGGCGACTAAAGTCAGAGCTATTCAGACTTTAATCCAGTCTTCAACCTCCTCAGATTCAGGAGTCACTTTTTAAAACACAACTAATAAAATGGGACCTGATTTTAATTGTCCTTTGCAGCAGTTGAAGATTATACATGCAGGAAATAAAAGGTGGGTGTTGTTGTTTTTTTAAGAGTAATTTGATGAGTTTCAGGAGCAAAGAAACCTCATCTGATAGTGTCCCTGATTAGGACAACTGCATGGGATGGAAGTAGGACTAGGGGAGAAATTTGTTCTGTTTGCATTTTAATATGCACCAAATTTGCAAATGCAACAGCTGTCTTTCAAAATTCATACATCCAAATTTTGCACTGCAATTCTCCAACCAAAAAAGGCATTAAAATATGTACTGTATAGTAAGGGAAAGGCATACAAAATTGGGCATTAGTGGAAATAACATACTGGACCAACTACATTACATTACGGGAAAGTGCTTGCCAAAAAGCGTATACCAGGCAACCAAATCCGTCTGTTAGGTGGGCAGAACCACAGGCAGAAGTGGACACAGGAACTTTCACTAGCAAGTGGGGTGGGGCAGTGGCGTAGCGTGGGGGGTGCGGGGGGGGGGCTGGCCGCACCGGGCGCAACATCTGGGGTTAGGGCAAATCCACAGGTTAGGGGGCGCAAATCCACGGGTTAGGGGGCGCAAATCCACGGGTTAGGGGGCCCAAATTACTTGCCTTGCCCCGGGTGCTGACAACCCACGCTACGCCACTGGGGTGGGGAACAGCATTTGCTTCACATTGTTCCTTTGATTTTGCTGGAGGTGCCAGCTGGGAAGGAAGAGTTGGGGGCTGACCCAATCCCTGGAACGGCTCAGAACGGCACCAGCGAGGACACTGGCTCAGATCCCGACCAAGACAGCTCTTGGCCGAGCCAAAGAGCGACCCATAAATATGCCAACAGCATCACCGGGCGTGATGGGAAAAGCTTTGGAAGCGCTTTCGCCGACCTCATCCTTGGGATTGGTGCCCACCATGATTCAAACTGGGGCAGAGATCGTGGCATTCCCCCCAGCCCCACAGAAGAAGCACCTCTCCAGCTCAGCCGGGGTTCAGCACCCGCCGAAAACACACAGAGAGAACTCATTAGCTCAGCTGGGAATTCTGAGTTATTAAAAGACCGATGGGCCCACACGGTTCAAAGGAAGAGTCCTTGGGGGAGTCAGAAGGCACAGGAATGCCTGGCAAGGGCGTCTGATGGATTCTCAAAACACTGAACTACAAAAGCTGGCTTTCACACACAGCTGGTCTTAGTGACCCCCCTCGTGGGGGGGGGGCAGGGAAGGGAATCTTTATTTTAATGCGTGTATACCTAAGGAGCTGCCTTACCCCAAGCCAGAGCGCTGGACCAGCATTTGGGACTGAGTCCCTGCAGTCTTTCCCAGCTTGCTTGCCCTCCAGCTGGTTTAGACTACAGTGCCCACCAGTCCCAGCTCAGGGATGATGGGATTTGTAGTATCAATGTACGTAGTATGTGTGCCTTGCACCTTCATCACATATCTTTAGGCGCCAGGCAAAAGTATTCCCCTTCTCCCAGGTACAGTGGTGCCCCGCAAGACGAATGCCTCGCAAGACGGAAAACCCGCTAGATGAAAGGCTTCTTCCGTTTTTGAGTTGCCTTCGCAAGACGATTTTCCCCATGCTTGGCTTCGCAAGACGAAACGGTCTTGCTAGTCTTTGCGATTTTTTCCCCGCTTTCCCCCCCTTTTTCTAAGCCGCTTAAGCCGCTAATAGCCTTTTAGCGTAAGGCGCTAAGCCTTTAATAGCCGCTAAGTGCTAAGCCGCTAATAGTTGCTAATCCGCTTAGCCGCTAATAGGGTGCTGTCGGCAAGACGAAAAAACCACTTACGAGAGAATCGCGAACGGATTCTTTTCGGTCTGCGAGGACCCACTTGTATTGGCCTATTAAACAAATCATGCCTTGTAACTGTGGCGGGCAGGGGGGTTATTGTTTTTGTTATTATGGTATGCATTTTTGTGTTTTTATGTTATAAACTGCACTGGGATCTTCGGATGAAGGGCGGAATAGAAATTCAATAACTAAAATAATAAATCAATAAATTACACAAACATACATAAATGGTGAAGGACACCAGGCTGGACAAGGTTGAATTACTGGTTTTGTTTTGTTTTAACTGGAGATGCCACTGTGGTCCCAGCCCCCGGAGCGATCACTACACAGCGCCCTTGCTTTTTAGTGCAGGGTTGGGGATATCGGGAGCTACCAGTACAGTCACCTCAGTACTGTCAACTCTGACCGGAAGCGTCTCTGCTGGGTTTCAGGGTCTCTCTCCCAGCCATCCCTGGAGATGTTGGAGGTTGAACCTGAGATTTCCTGCAGGCAAAGCCAGCTCTGCTCCCGAGCTAAGGCCTTTCCCTACTTACAGAAAACCCTACAGCGCCCCATATTTCCAAGGGGGCTCTCGTTCCACACACTAACCAGGCCTCCCCCCCCCGCTTAACTTGCAGCTGCTTTCAAGCTGCTGTGCCTTTGTGGGTGGGGGGTAGGGGGGGTGCTGAGGCAGGGCTGGGAATTCCAGAGCAAGGGGAGGAAGAGAGAATGTTTCTCATGCCCCGAGACAGAATGATCAGGTCCACCCAGATGCAGGGCAAAGCCCACATGAGTCACCCTGGTTTGGTTAATCCAGAATAAAGGCCCCTCCTTAATTCTGCTCTTGAAAGAGACATGGGTGGTTTTGAGGAAACTTCTCTGACAATCTTCTTGGGACATGGGAGTCCATGCAAGAAAGCAAAGCAAGCCACTACAGGCTGCCGTCTCACTGCAGTCTTCTTCATCTCTCTCCCTACCCCCCAGCTTGAGTTCGCACTCCGACTTCTCCTCTTAATCATCCAATAGTTGCAGTGCAGGAAGACTCCCCAAGCTGACAAGGACACACTCTCAACCAGAGACAGGCAACGTCAGCTTCCCCAAAAACAAACACAAGCGCCATATATTCATGGAACAGAACTGCTTAAGTCATGGCCCTCTGCTCTTCACAACAGATGAGTCAATGGTCCGACTCTAGGTTGCTTTCTACATTCCCTTCAAAATCATGGCACCCTCAGAGTTCAGAAGCTGCCCGATTCCCCAAGAAGGCGTGGCGTGTGACTCTGGCTCTCTGACCAGCCTGCAGTCACTTTGTCAAGAATGCAGGATTGGGCCTTCAGAACTGAGAAGGCAGTACTTTGGGCTCTCCATCAAGCCTCCTGCAGAAGATTCCACAGTGAAGTACAGTAAGGTCACAATTTATGCCCATTCAACAGTCACGAATTCGACCACATAGAGTTGTAAGGGGTCCCAAGAGCCATTTAGTCCAACCCCCTGCAGTGTGGGAATGTAAGAAAATAAAGAACTTCTGGGAAATGATATATAATGAGATGAAAAAGATGTTGAAATATACATTTTTTTAAAAAACCAGAAGCATTTCTACTTGGTATTATATATTAATAGGCAAGATGTCAAATTGTTTTTATACACAACAACAGCGGCAAGAGTATTGTTAGCCCAGAAATGGAAGCAAGAAGAAATTCTGACGAAAGAAGAATGGCAGACGAAATTAATGGACTATGCAGAACTGGACAAAATGACAGGAAGGATTCGAAACCTGCGGGAACAGAGATTTACAGAAGTATACAAACTATTTGAAGAGAGATTGTAATCAACAAATTACGCTAGTAGGACTACAAGAAGTTTTGTAAGGAGGAATATATGAAGTGCTACAAAGTAGATAAAGAATAGAGATATTGGTTATGATTTTTAAATGTAACAGGGAAAATAAGAAATGTATACTAAGAGGTTAGATTGGAAAATTTTCAGACTGGACTGATGGAAGTCAAAATATTGAATAAGATGTTAAAATATGTTTAATTACTGTTCAAAATTTTATGTTAAAAAACCTAATAAAAATGTAATTATTAAATTATTATTAAAAAAATAATAGTCCAAGCAAGGGCAAGAGCTTAAAAGCTCTTGTTGTGTGGCGTCTGCTTGGGCTACCCAACATGGAAGGAGTTTTTAAGCGCTTCTTCTTACTGGGAGGGTGGGGGCAAGACTTGCTCAGTGCAGTGGCTCTGGGGTGCTCTCCCGAGATCTTGAGGGGCATCTGAGTTCTTATGAGATCTCGCAGGAGCATCGTTCCAGAGATGAGGGGCCAAGCACACCTTGCCCACCAAGCAGACCTGGCGCGGAAAGATCTGTTAAATTCTCTGCCTTGCTGGGCAAAGCCTGCTCAGCACTCAGTCCCTGGGAGTCCTGGGGATTTGCTCTCCCTCCCCTTCACCCACTAAGTAGCTCCAAGGGTTTGGTATACATGGTTTTTGCGCAAACGTGGAACCCTTGGACCCAGACCCCCACGTAAGATGCAGTCCCACTGTACCCAGACGGAGGTGATGGAGGGAGCGGAAAGAAGAGCAGGGTTGGCGATCCAAGGCAATTATTCCTTTTTTTGTTGTTAAATATTTTTTATTCGTTTTCAATTGTAAAAATCCAATACTGTATATGCCACATTGTATCAATACCATATTACCCCGCACATTTCTCAT